TATGGAAAGAGTCTGTTCCAACTTTCTATGAAGAACGACTAACCAGACTTGACAGGAATAATAGGAATCGTAATGGAGCTTGCGTGTGTTCCACCTGTGAGGACACGATTGACGGCTCCACGATGGTATGTTTCATCATATGCGCGCTCAAAACCAGGTACGGCTCCTGGGCCCTCAATAGGGGAAATCTCAAGACGTAGTCGCCGCCCGGCTGAAATCCGTCCGGCGACCGCCAGTAACTCAACTTCAAGCTTGACTGGTTTATTTGGAACCAGGGGCTGGGTATCCTTTTCAAGATGCGTGTGCCAAGGACGCTCAGGCGCGCTGCGAGCAGGATCAGTAGCTCTCCGCGAAGCCTTTAAAACTCCTGATGTCAACGGAGCCGTTGCTCTCTTTCCCCGAGCTTCCCCCTGGAATGTGGCCGGTTCCATTGTCCTGTACGGCACCTCCCGGTCACCGTCCAAGACCCGAATCGAAACGTAAACATCGGCATCTGAGGACGTGGATGTCACCCACAATGTGGCCTTGAAATGGCCGGCGAAATCCACGTCATTGTCAAATGGTGCTGATACAAAGGCGGCCATCGGCGCATCGGTGAGATTTGTAGGCTCGGTGTCTGCGGAATACTCAACGAAGCACTCTGATTTGGGTTCCACGGTGTCGAGACGTCCCACTAGATTTGAAGCCCTGGCATCGAGGAAGAAATCGCAATACTGCGTGCTGGGAACCGGCCAATCCGCCTCATTGCGCCATTCAAATTCTCTATCGCCTGTCCTCATCATTATGCGCACAGGTGGCTGCTGCTGGGCTGGCTTGATACCCTTCAGGTGTAGGTCAAAAAATGTACGGAGATCTGCATCGCTCCCTTCGATCATGGATGGCATGTAGAACGCATCCCAAACGAGCAGCTGCTTAGAAGGCGAACGTAGCTCCCGAAAGGCTTCAAAACCGGCCCGGCCATGGATCACTTCGCTTTGGCTAACGGAGACCATGACAGGTATGTTGATTTTCGAAAAATCAGCGGACATTAGTCCCTCTCCATGATAGTATTCGTCATCCCATGGGTGGCTCCTGAAGCCTCCAAGGAAGTCCACAGCGCCAGACTTCGGGTTTCTTTGTTTACCGACCAGGACTTCCCACCAATACTCGCGGTATTTCTCGAGGTATATACCGCCTGGATAAGACAGGTCTCGGTATGCATCTGCATCACACGCAAGAGGCGCGATCGCTTTAAGGGATGGTGGTTGCAACCCAGCGACATTGAACTGGTTTGTCGCATGGAACGATGCTCCGAACGTGGCAATGTTTCCATCACTCCAAGGCTGCTTCGCAGCCCACTCTATTGCGTCGTAATAGTCGAGAGCTTCCTGCTTAGAGAATGGATTCACGTCGCCCGGCGTATTCCCGATACCGCGATTGTCCACACGTATCATGACATAGCCTCGCGGTACCCAGGTAGTAGCGTTCGGCCGGAACGCAGTTTCTGACCATTTGAAGAAGGGTGGTATATCTTCCCTCTTGTTCTCGTGCCAGGCATCTTCGCGTTCCTCGCTTGCTTGGAAATTGTCATCTGTGCGAACCACACCAATACGGAACGCGCGGCCGTAGACGCTCATGTTCATGAGCACTGGTGATCGTCCATTGCCGATGGGAAGAAACACGTCTGCTCCAAGCCAACTGCCGTCGCGAGTGGGAATCTGTACATCCCGCAGCAACTTGATACCTCTAACCGAGCGTCGAAGGTGGTTGCGCACTTCGGCGGCTCCCCGGAACCGAAGATTGAGTTCATCGAAGATCGCATGAAGAGACGTCGCCTTCTCAAAGGAGTCGATTTCGGAATCGAACGATAGGCCGTCTATGTGTTTGCTGATGGTATCGCCTATCTCCTCGCTGATGGTCACACCATTGCAGAAGTCCGATTCCCGCGAGAGGCTGAGGAGGAAACGAGCGCGGTTAACTGTAGATGGCCGAGAGAGGTCTGTGTCCAATCCATTGTCAAGGCTTGCAAGTGTCAAAGAAGTGGCACCCGTTGTGGAACCGAGTCGGAGGTTTTTGATGAAGAAAGTAACCACCTCGCCTGCGATGTATGAGAATCTTCCATGCAGGTCTGTGACTCCTGCTTGCGAAGGCGTTTTATATCCGAGACCAATGAATGGTCCGTCGCGGAACTCGCCAGTCAGTATGGGCAGCGTCATGGTGTTGCTAATATGTTTAAAGTACGAGGTATACGTTACTTACCTTTGTAGGGTATCAACAAGATATATATACCACGACTCCGTGAACATGTGATCGGACGCTGGATACACCTTTTTCAACCCTGACGGATCATGTCCGCACAGCGCTGTGGATACCGGGTAGCTCGTTTGATAGACGTTGCGGGGACTCGACGAATGGCTTATGGGCGGGTGCGGCGCGGGGAGCGGAGGGCGGGGGGATACCTAGTACGTTCCTCCGCCGAGGCCGCCGTCGGGCCGATTCCTTACAACGTGAGGTCCCGTTGTGTGGTACATATATAAACTACCACTGTATGAATACTGGGAAATATATTTCCTTCGATCACGCATAAACCTTGGAGATCAAGCAGTATTTCTAAATATTACAATGTCTTCTCAGCAGTATATCCCAGGCACGAATTTCCTGGTTAAGGAGCTTTATGATTACCTGGAGGGTTTCGGTAACTACCAAAAGTTCATCCCTTTGTGTCATGCACTATTCTTCACCAATGCTAATGGTCTGTACAGGTCTGAAGCGGCCGTTGGAGCCATACCAAAAGTAAACAACAGCCCACTACACCCACCTTTGGGTCTTCGAACCGAGAAACTCTCTGGTAGCGCTTTTGCAGGCCCACGTTCTCTTGCCGTGCACACGTGGGTGTACCGAGTGCAGCCCAGTGTTGTACATGGACGCCATACTCCATATCTGCATGAATTAGAGACCGGCAACCCGACAAAGGCAAAGCACTTGACTCCCGACTCCAAAATATGGGATGCATTCCCGCTTCAGGAGTCGTCTGATTGGTTCAGTCAACGTTTGATTGGGACCACAGGCAACCCGGCAGAGAAGAACGGCCTATCAACCTGGGTGTACAATATCGGCCAGAATATGAAGCCCAGCACAGCTTTCGCGAGCTTAGATGGCGAGGCTCTGATTGTTCCCCAAACTGGAGCGTTGGACATCACCACAGAACTCGGAAAGCTGCTGGTGAGAGCCAACGAAATTGTCGTCATTCCTCGTGGCTTGCGATACCATGTGAAGCTAGTGGATGGTGCTCCATCTCGGGGATTCATTTGCGAGCTATACCAAGGTCACTTCCGTCTTCCAGAACTTGGGCTTATGGGAACATCTGGGGCTGCGCATGTACGGGATTTCCAGGTTCCGGTAGCACTCTTTGACGGCAAGATCGTTGAGAAGGACGGCACTCAGGTGGCGACGTCATCAAAGACCAACTGGACTATTGTCTCACGCCTTGATTACAAGCTTTATGCTTGCGAGCAAGGCCACACACCTTTCGACGTCGTGGGTTGGCATGGTACCCTTTACCCATACAAGTATGACCTCGCAAAATTCGACTTCCTCGCAAACGTCCACTATGATCACAAGGATCCTAGTGCACACACGGTCCTCACAGCACCTTCATATGGCAAAGCGCCTAACACTGCAGTTGTCGACTTCATCATCTTCGGCAAGCGACACGAAGCAGCTATGGACACCCACCGCCTGCCCTGGTACCACCGCAATACCATGAACGAATTCAGCTATGCTATTTGGGCTGGACCATCATCGACAGACGGTACTGAAATCGTACCTTTTCCCGGTGCGTTTTCGGCCGGCGCAGTCACTGCGCATGGTCCGGGTGAAGAGGAATATCGGGCTTTGCAGGAAGTGGATGGAATGAAGCCTGAGTTGGCTATGGACGGTCCAATGACGATTGGAATGTTTGAAACGGAGTGTCCGCTCTACCTCACGGAGTGGGCGATGGAAACGGCCACTGAAAATTCGCCGCTGGATATGAAGAAGATAGCCGAGTAAGGAATTTCCTTTTCTTGGGTAGATAGTTGCGAGTTGCAAAGAACGAGTGAGGAAAGACTGCTCTCTTTTGTAATATACTCTAGCTCGCCTGCTTTGTCTTCGTAGTTACATGCATCGTCTTTTTACTCCTAACGTCTCTCTCGTACATTATGATTGCTCATTCGACATGGTTCTGTATTCCCGTCATCATCAATAATATATGCAACCTGTTTGTAGCCGTTGAAGCTATTTATCAAGGGACAGTTAGAGTTGGGTACCACTATAGAGCATAATATGGAATACTGCACTTAATTCAAGGAAGCCTGCGCCTTGATGCAGAGGGTCAACCTCAGATTGAGTACACAATCGTATATAACAGCCGAAAATGGTCACAAATGGTACTATAGAAAAATAGCCCCTTTTGCCCCAACTTGCCCCTTTTCACCTTGAGAATACATGTATTGCTCCCCATTCCACAGCTTCTCACTTGCCGCGGGATGTTAATAATTCAGCCGAGTTTCCGAGACCTGCATAAATTCAGATGGGATCACTCTAGCCTCGCCGGCAGTCTTGTCTTCAAAAACCTGAGAATTCACATGTTGGATCAGAGAGTAAAGTGTGTTTCTAGGCGGATGACATAAGGCTGCAATCTACCTAGGTAAGTGGCAGATATCACAATTCCATACAAAAAAACAAAAAAACAGCTTCGCCATTCCTCAGTGAGTTCAGTTTCTGTTTGTGCCGTGCTTCATCCAATCGGGCCGATTAGAGCGGAGTTCCTTTCTATTGCGCCGCCCTTCGTCACCACTCCGCCTCCAGGGCTCAATTACCAAGAATTGGTCATCATGTCATTCCAACCTTGGTATGATTGGATGTAGAAGCAGAAATTTCGTACACCAGGGTTCATAAATTGTGAAGGCCATATATTCTGTATGTATTCCGTATGGAGTCTCCGAACCTACTTTTCTTTTTCACCGTCACCTGGGAACACAATGGCCGCCAATCGTGAAACCCCCTACAAAGGCAGCAACCACGGAGACTTCAAGGAGATCGAATCTTCCCGACCAGCATGGGAAGAAGCTACCACCGCTCCCTTCCAAATCATTCAAACTCCCGACACAGCATGGACCCTAGGGAGCGGAGCGAACAAGACTCACAATCCTAATGGCCACAAGCATATCTCCATCGACCCCTGGGCACCCGGTCGTCACCCCATGAACAACTACAAGCTGTGTATCAGTGCTGTTGTCCCCCGCCCCATCGCCTTCGTATCGACAAGATCTAAGGACGGCAAAGTTACAAATTTGGCACCTTTTAGCTTCTTTAATATGGTGCATGCAGACCCACCTCTCTTTGTGTTGGGTCTCACGACGCCACTCGACACGCCCAACGACACCCTACAAAACCTGGAAGAGACGGGAGAATGTGTCATTACCATAGTCACTGAAGGCACTGTCGAAGCAGCCAACGCAGCAGGCATCAACAACCCGTACGGTGTTTCCGAGTGGGATGCTAGTGGGCTGAAGCCTATTTATGACTGCAAGACGGTTTCCTGCGCGCGACCAGAAGAGGCCGTATTTAGCATGGAGGGCAAGGTCGAAAGCATTCGTGAATTCAACAGTAAAGTATTCCCGGGAAAAAAGTCTGGTTCGCTGGTAGTAGTGGAAGCCACACATTTCTGGGCGCGCGAGGATGCCATCAATGAGGACAGGAATTTGATCGATATCAAGGTATTTGCCCTTTTCCTGTTTTAATTTTGATGTGAGGCAGTATTGACCGGGAAAAATAGGCTTTGAAACCAATCAGCAGGTTAGGAGGTATTAGCTACGGTCGTACGACTCAGGCTTTTGAGATTCCTAGACTAGACTTCGAAAAGGACTTAGGTGGTGCGGAGGGTGCTAAGAAGCTGAATAAGCAGCAGCAAGCGAAGTTGGCCAATGGTCTAGTATAGAGTACAACAATGTATATATGCCGTATCACTGCACAGTAGCTGTTGTCAGCGGCGTAGCAGTCTACCCCATCGTGGTCTTTTCACACTCCTAAAGCCGCTTCCTTTTTGTCCATTACTTTTGCTTCGTCTGCTCTCTCGGCAGCCAACCCCCAGATCCAAGGACGCTTCGGTACCAGCACTGAGCTTGTTGTTGCCGACACCTCACTCTTTGTTCTCGCCTTCGCCATCGGGCCAGCCATCTGGTCTCTGCTTTCCGATGACAATCAGTATGATATAGCAAGCTCAAGCCGTAGGATTTGGAGAACATATCAATTAGCACGATAGTCCAGTTATTTCCAAATCTATTCTGGTTCAGGCTGGGCCAACTGGAGCTAAGGGAAACAAGGGTAAGTGAGAAACAGAAGAGGAGATTGCGTGGTAGGCGTGCGAGAATCTGGGACCTGAGCCACAATGGAAGCTTAATTCTACTATACATCACTTAGTCCTCGAGTAATTCAAGATACTCTTCATTTTCATTGTTGAATTGATTGAATTAATTAGGTCATGAAGTAGACCTATATTTCCATATCAGAGAACTTCCACTTAACACTATAGGCACTGGTGCCGCCCTTCCAGTGCTGTTCTCATATTCATTTGACAAACAATTGGCGTTGCTTCCACTTAAGAGCGCGAGGTTAAGCCTTGAAATAGAGAACGCAGGAGGTAGTGTTCTCGACATATTCAACTGAGTCAAGGAAAAAACAACTTGACTTACCTACCTAGGTAGGTAGAAGTGAGAGCTAAGGTAATCAAGGGAGGGATAGTTAACTAGTCACTAAAGAATCAGTAAGCAAGGAATGGTATAAATAACGACCTATTTGGGAGAGATACAAATAGTAATGGTAAAGTGCAAGGGAGAATTGCCCGTAGTGTTCTTCTATAAGAGCTAGGTATCCTCCGATATGGCACACATACAGGTGGGGTTTGTCATAATGGAAGTACTGTGAAATACTCTGTAGTGGTCCGAAACATTGCCCGTTTATAGTAATATATCTGTTTTTACCATGTGTTGGACACAGGGGAAGGTTGGATGAATCGCAGACAGTGACCGGGGTCTTCTGCCAACGCATCGGGCATGGTACGGAGATAACAGCCATGGGATATTGGATCCCGGTTCATCGGTCTTTAATGCAGATTAAGTTTCTTGATTAGTTTTAAAAAAAGGAGTAATTAGGTCCGTACAGAAATTCATTTCAATTTGAGAAGTTAGTGCCCGTATTTTTACTTGCTTTCTCGAATGAAACTAGCGTGTAATGGTGGTGTATGTATACATACCAGTACCCCTCTTTCGGACTCCCTTTTCTATATGCCCCTTTTACTACTACTACCTACCACCTCCCACCATGGGTCACGATGTCTCTAAGCGCACAATTGTAGTGACTTACAAAGCTACTGGTCTTAGCACTACTACTATTTCAGCGATATCTGGCCTTCCAAGGCGCACCATTGACCGCATATATGAAAGAGCCCTTAAAAATGGCTTTGATCCGAACTCACTTCCTTGGAATCCTTCTGACGCTATGCTAGCTGACGCCCCTCGCTCTGGGAGGCCGACAAAGCAGATGTCACAAGTGCAAAATCAGGTGCTGTCGAAAGTTCATGCTGACCAGGACGGCCCCAAAAAAGACATGCACTGATATTGCTGGGGAAATGAGCCTCGAAGGACATGGTATTTCTTCAACTACTGTCTGCCACATCCTGAAAAAAGCTGGAGTACAAGAGACGACACTCACTGAGAGCCCGGTTTAACAAAAGCCATGTGCGAAGCTAGGCTAGCTTGGTGTCTTGAAAAGGATTGGACTTCGGAGGATTGGAAAAGTGTTAGTTGGACTGATAAGACTTCTGTTGTTTTATTTCACCGACGCGGATAATACCGAATCAGCCTATGCAAGATATCGAGGATCAGCGCATCTGTGTAGTCTGTAATCCGCCGAGGCTATAGATGATCAGTAATATTTGGGCTGTGTATATGCATGATGATTGGATATACTAGCATGTGATGAGGCCCAACTGGACTCAGCCCCCGCTCATACTCTCTCCAGCTACACATCCCACGGCTCCACCTTATTCCCTTTCAATATTGATCTCCCATATTACATAGTAGATCTTTGGATTCCAGCGCGATAGAGTACGATGAGCCAGACAATACTGCCACCCGTCCTTCTCAACAACCAAGGCGACGGCACGCAAAACACCAATACCGGCAGCAATGGACTTCAAAACAATAACAACTCCCATGGGACGCAATACGGCAATTGTTCAGGTAGGGAATAAGAGTTAATGCAATTCAAAAGGTCATACCTGTGCTCACAAACTGTTTGTAGTGACATTGGATGGTGAGAGTCTGAGCCCTGAGGTCCAACAAAAGGAAGGTTAGTACACTGTTTCAATACTGCCGCGCAGAGCCTCCGATGCATGATCTATAAAGCTTATGAATTTTAGACCAAGACAGGATCGATAATGGTTCGTATCGTCCGAATACCTATCAGGGAGACTATCGCTGATTCTGTTCATAGGAATTCTTGGATCACTGGCCTTCCCCGAGATGCTAGATCGACGAGACAAATCGATCAACGTCATGGAAATACCTGCGAGTGGATTCTAGGTCTGGAAGAATATACGTCTTGGAGAAGTAACTCCTACAGTCTCCTGTGGGTCAAGGGCAAGCCTGGAGCAGGCAAATCAACGCTGATGGCTTACCTACACAGCAAGCTAAGGGAACCAGAGGATAGCGGCAACAGCATCCAGCTTGATTTTCCTTCACTGCTCGAGGAACGGACTTGCAACACAGACTACTAGGGATGTTCAGATCGCTGCTAAACCAAATTTTTCGCTGCGATGAGGTAGTCCATCAATCGGTCAATGAATTTCTACACACAAAAAGACTTGCCTTCTTAAGTCAACTTGCCGGTGCTAGTACGTCAGATGTCGACGGCGAAAAGACCCTTCTTCAATGCCAAGCGACGCTCTATCGATCTTGTTTGGTCTACTTTGCCAGATAGGTATCACTGGAGGGTGTCAATCGTCCAAACCGCGATCTGCCATATTATGATTGGTTCAAAGAGCGACCATTACTTGCCTACGCAACCTGTTATATTCTGTTCGTGCAGAAAAGGCTGCTGAATGTCGTGCAGACAAGATACAGAACAAAATACAACAACTGGAGCAGTTGATTGGCCGATGGATCCGGGTTTACTATGGGCTGAACGAAAGGCGCGAGTGCCCAACAGAAGAAACCACTCTCTTTCATTTGGCTGCAACGGCTAACCTAGTTGATGTGGTGGACTGTCTGTCTTCCAACAAAGAGAACTTGATACGAACGGACTCTGATGGAAACATGGCCTTGCATTTGGCAGCACAAGGGGGTCATATCCAAGTAGCCGAAATACTCTTGAAAAGGGGAGCAGACTTTGAGGCAGACAACAACAATCAGAAAACACCTCTGATGGAGGCAGCACGCTGTGGCCAGTTGAAATTCGTCGAGTGGCTTTTGCAAAGCGGAGCAAATATTGAAACAACATCGACGGCTGGATGTGCCCTGCAAGAAGCCTCACTGGCAGGGACCAGGATGTAGTGCGAATGCTCCCCGATACCAACGCCGATACCCAGGGTGGGAAATATAGCAACACACTACACGACGCTTATGCAGAGGGCACGCCGAGATAGTGCAAATGCTCCGCAATTCCAACACCGATACCCAGGGTAGGGAATATGGCGTTGTGGTAGACAGCACGTATTGATATCATTTAATAGATAGTGCGATATCTCTGGTATTGAAGCTTTTCAATTGGAGGCAATAATATATGACAGATTTGATCTGAGACGTAGGTAAATAGTCAAAAATTAGATCATGGCGGTCAGCGGAAGTTGTTGTCTCTAGTATTTCATGGTCGCCTACATATCTAGGCGAGACTGGGATATGCAGCCTAATTAATCTGGCTGATTGCAAGGCTATTCATACTGTAAGACAGTATGAAGGACTCAGCTAATTCTGGACACTTCCCACGCCGAAAGACCACACATGCTACTCGAGGCTTACACCCCATGTCAAAGGCAAAGGTGGTAGATATGGCACTGCCCTACAAGCCACTTCGTTTGATGGGGGTGCCGATGCAGTACGAATATATCAAAGAGAGACGTCTACTGAGACATCTAGATGCGTGGTTCGTTGAGAGATTAGGTTTTTTGATAAAGCGAAGCTGCTAGACTACTGAGTTGTACATTTGGTAGATGCTACTTGATGTCAATGCCGATGCCAATGCCTAGGGTGGTAGATTTTCTTTGAGGTGCTCCATAGGAAGGTATATCAGGGAAGGGAGTCTCTCTCTATAATGCTAAAAGGGTTAGGTAGAAGAGATCAGGCGACTAGAGTGGTTGTCTCGGCATTGTCCTATATGCCGCTTCATTGATAGCACTGATATGGTTTAAACGTCGCTTCGACACCAACGCCGACCTCGATATCTAAGTTGGCATATATGCAAATTTCCTCTTGCAGTCTTATAAAATAAGGAGCCTCAAGAGCGATGCAATGTTGGCGACAAACGACGAATTTATGGAGAAAATGATGTGGGCGAACTAACCCCGATTAGGACTAGTACCCGCTGACCACGTTGATGGCTGATCCACTTCTAAGGTTATCTTGGTATCGGCCGCTTAAGCGGTCTTGTCAAGTACTCTTTGGCAGTGGTTTTGTTATGTTTCCTTCCGTACTGGTGCTGTAGCTAGAAGCATAAGAAGGTTTAGCCACATATATAGAATATACGCGATAAAAACGTTGTAAACCCCAAATATAACATGTGATATCTTGTGGTAGGGTTTAGGATAGTTGTTTAATCTTGCGGTATATCCTCCGCGATTGGAACAACAATAATTCGATTGAGGGTCAGCTTATGTTGGATGCCTATAATGCCGGCAAGCGGACTGTCTGGTCTGAGGCGGGTGGTCGGAGATCCCATCTGGTCGGTCCCATTTGGAGCTGATCTACTAATTGTTGGGGTATGGATATGTCTAGTGAAAACTGTGCAATGATAACTCAGAGTGGATACGTGTGGGCTTTGTCGCAATGAAATTTCCACGAGGCACGAGGTGTTAGGCTTGCTGGCGGACCTGCCTATTCCGGAAGTACCCGCTCCGGTACTGATTAGGAAACTCTCTCGACTTTCACTCGATGAAAAGCCAGATGATATCCATGAATAAAGCTTTTGTAGTCTATTTAGACGAATATATAAGATCTTTGGTCTACTTCTCTGTCCTACGCTTTCTTTTCTTTTTCTGGTTCTTGAGTGATTCAGCCGATTTAACAGCGCAGCCATGTCTATTGGAGGGCAAGATAGTCCACACACCTCGATCTATGAAAGTCAAACTCTCCAGCATGAAAATAATCAGCCTTCATCGTCATCTGAGTCGTCTCTCCAAATTGCCAACGAAAAATGGAACCACCCACGCTTCAACATAGCAAAGACACTGGCAACATTCTGGAGCTTCCTAATAATGGGAGCGAATGACTCCGCATACGGTGTAAGATCCCACCTAGATATATATCCACAGCAGGTTTGATCTTATACTAATATAATACCATCGTCCAGCCACTCCTCCCATATGTACTTAAACCCCCAAATTTCAAATCCCCGTCCCCTTCTAACACATTCTCAGCTCGAAACCTACTACAACCTCTCCTACACAATCGTCTCCCTTGTCTTCCTCTCTCCATTACTAGGCTATGCCACCGCCGCAATCGTGAACGAACGAGCACATTGCGCTATAGGCCGACGAGGTGTAGCCTTCATGTCATCTTTGTGCCACCTGATAGCCTACATCTTGAACTGTGTGCATCCACCATACCCCGTCCTCGTTGTGTCGTTCATATTCGCAGGTTTGGGAAATGGCCTCGCGGACTCGGCATGGAATGCGTGGATTGGAAACCTTGATAATGCGAATCAATTACTCGGTCTGCTTCATGGGTCTTATGGTGTAGGTGCTGTTATCAGCCCTCTCATTGCATCGCTACTTGTTGCGGATGCTGGTTTGCCGTGGTATTATTTTTATTACATTATGGTATGGTACTTTGTCGACTTGCTTTTGTGGCATGGGTTGGTACTGATTTTCCTAGATTGGAGGCGCTGCAATCGAGGTTCTCGTCTGCGTTGCGTGTTTCTGGGATTCTACAGGAGCGTCGTTCCGACTTGCTAAAAAACAACAGCCCGGCGATACATCCGAAGAAGCAGGCTTGCGAAGAGTCCTAACCACAATGCCATCTGCGCGAATTACCTGGGTCTGCTCGATCTTCTTACTTGGATACGTTGGCGTTGAAGTAGCGCTAGGAGGATGGGTCGTGACGTTCATGAAAGAAGTGCGGCACGCCGCACCGTTTCCTAGCAGTATGACGTCTACGGGATTCTGGCTCGGAATAACCCTTGGACGGGTTATCCTTGGATTCGTGACTCCTCTGATTGGTGAGAAGATTGCTATCTCGGTAGGCTCCCCTAGCATATCGTGTGCATCCAAGTCATACCACAAGCTCACCCTTTAATAGGTCTATATCTCGCTCGAGATAGCATTTTGCCTCATTTTATACCTTGTTCCGAACTTCTACGCTGGCGCTGTCGCAATATCCCTGCAAGGGTTCTTTCTGGGTCCGTTGTTCCCGGCGGTTGTGGTTGTTACCACGAAGCTCTTGCCAAAACACTTGCATGTCAGCGCCATTGGGTTTGCGGCAGCCTTCGGTGGTGGCGGTGCGGCTGTTCTTCCATTTATTGTTGGTGTACTTGCGCAGGCTAAGGGTGTGCTGGTTTTGATGCCGTTTACCATAGCGCTTTCGGGGGCAATGTTGCTTCTTTGGAATTGTCTTCCGGGAATTCCTAGAGATAGCAAAGCAGCATCGACTAACAGTAAGGGTAGGGCTTGCTAGGTACAATATGACGTATCGCATGCCAGGAACTGCGAGCCTAGGAGGGTGGGAATGGTGGAGATGTGATTTGAACGATGCTAGTAAATAATCGTGCAGAGGCCATCTCAAGCTGCAGATATTGAATTTTGGCCAGATAAAGGGGTTTGAAGTAGCATAGTCACAAAATGTATAACCATACAAAACCACAAGAATATTTGGCCGTTTATGCGGGCTTGTTATGTCTTCTTCGTGGTCTTTTGGTAGCCTGGCACTAACAATCTCAAGGTTCGTGCCAGAGCGTCGGAAAGATACTTCTCGGCACATGTATTCCGCTAATTCTCGTGACATGACCACAGAACCCATGCGAGCTAGTGATCAACGACGCTGATCGCAATTTTGCATCTCAAGGTGTCTTGGGGTTGGTGTCTTAGTTAGATGAACATCCAAGATCAAAGGGATATGAATGTGGCGATGATGAGTTATTGTATAATCTGCGTTCTTAGAGAGCGATATGGCATGGTTCCTGGCGTCCTGAGGTCCAATAGCTGGGCTGGGAAGAAGAAAGACGGGTCGTGTCTTCATCTCTTCATGTCTGGGGTCCACCATGAGATCATGTACCAAGTCCTGTATCCAGATCAATGAACAGCCCCCAGGGAGCTAGGTATTTAGCGTGAGCCATTGCCGCTGCCTACGATAGTCTGCAACTGCAACCAATTTAAACTTGTGGATATATCAATACAAACCACCACCATGAGTAAAGGACAATCCAAGACAGACGGCTTCACGGCGCTCGGTCGGACACTGAGTCGCGATGAGCTTAATCGAAGGCATCTTTTTGGAAGACCAGTTCCTCTGAGAGGAAGATGGCAAGCACATCTGATTGTCGGGTGGAGTGTCAAGTGCAACTGCGGCTGCGGCTGCCGTACCGGTCGATGTCAAAGGCGAAGGCAAGGGCATGACCAGCGCTTCAGGCAAGGCGAGTCTTATAACGCGCAGTCTGGCTAAGTGGGACAAGATCCCGGCTCCATTTGGCAACCAGTTTTGCGAAGTGGGCGTCAGAGAATGCTAAGCCGCTTCTTGCGCCGGACTTTTCGATATTGAGAAAAAGGGGTATGGTTGTTCAATCTTCTTAGGTTGCCGATGAGTGTGCTATTCATATGGCCAATAGCAAGGATAAGGAGGTTGATGTTGGTTTGGATATTGCGGCTACTGGCATTGGGAAGGCTGGTGGTGGTGGAGGTGTGACGAAGTCGAAGAACGAGGGACGGCGATAGGCGAGGATCTTCTGAAGTCAAGGTGTTACGGAATTGAGGCTATATCAAATTCACCCCTTCTTCATCAGTAAAGACTAAGTACCTACCAACACATAACAATTTCCAGAAGACTCAAATTGTGGAAGACCCTGTTGTCTAAAAATTACATGTAGTGACTGAGAAAAGGGGTCGCCACCCAAGGGGAATCGGATTTGCCAATATGTAGTATCCTACATTCCACTCCTTCGGCTAATCTCCGCCTACCCTTGGCGTCTGAAGAATCAAAGTCGGATATCTCGGAGCTAACAGCTAGCGCAGCTGAGTGCAGGTCCACTTCTCCGCAAATCCCCGGAATCTCCTGGAGAGACCCCGGGATATCCGTACTGGAACACGGGATGCCGGAAAAGAGAGAGAGGGATTGATCTCTAGCATTTCATGGATTCAGACAATTCTAGATACGGCAACCCTCGCCTTTTCTGATGGGAAAACAAACCCCATCATGAAAGACAAGCGCACAGCAAGAAGAGTTGTCTCGGGACTCGCTTCGGTATAGACAATATTCTCCTATCCATCAGCTAACCAGGATAAACGAACTAACAACTCAATCCTAGGCCAAACCATGGTGGAAAACCACACACCTCATCCACCTAAACAGCCTAATAGCAAGCCTAATCCTCTTCTCCAGCACATTCGGCTACGACATCTCCCTAATGAACAGCCTGCAATCCCTGCCCCAATGGCAAACGTTCATGAGCAACCCAAAAGGAATAAAACTCGGCTTCATAAACGCCCTCCAAAGCATAGGCAGCATACTCTTCCTACCCATGCAAGCATGGTCCGCCAACCGCTTCGGCCGCAAACCCACAATCCTAGCGGGGTACATCTTCATCGTCCTTGGCGTGGGACTCCAAGCCGCCGCCCCAAACACAAATACATTCATCTACTCCCGCCTACTGGTAGGTATCGCCAGCGCCTGGTTCCAGTGCGCCGTGATCCTCGTCACGGAAATCGCGTATCCACCGCATCGCTCGCTCGTCACTGCCATCTACATGTGCCAGTACTATGTCGGGTCCTCGCTGTCCGCGTGGGTTTCCTTCGGGACGAGGAATATGCAGAGTACCTGGGCGTGGCGCCTGCCTGTGCTTATGCAGATTGCATTGCCGCTTCTTGCCTTGCCTGGGACGTTATATGTGCCAGAATCGCCGCGTTGGCTGACTAGGTGTGGGCGGGTTGAGGAGGCAAAGCGTATTCTGGTTAGATTTCATGCTGGTGGGGATGAGGGTTCGCAGTTGGTGGCTTCTGAGATGGAGGATATTAGCCGGGGGCTGGCGGCGGAGCAGAAGGCTCGACGGGAGGCGCGCTGGATTGATTGTGTTAAGACTCGTGGGAATCGGTATCGGCTTTTCTTGAGTGTTTCTTTGGGTATCTTTGCTCAGTGGAATGGAGGGTAAGTATCGTGCTTGAGCTTTATACTATTGTTCATGAGAAGAAATGGGTGGAGAGATCCGATGCTGACTGGATACCTGCTCTAGTGGTGTGGTGTCATACTACCTAGCCCTTATCCTCGATACAATCGGTGTAACCTCGTCAACAGACCAGACACTCATAAACGGATTCCTCCAGCTCTGGAACCTGATTATGAGCATGGTGGGCGCGTGTCTTGTCGACCATGCTGGTCGCCGTCCGCTCTTCATCACATCGACTGTGATCATGCTGATCAGCTACATCTTCATTACTGCGCTATCGGGAAGCTTCACGACGACGGGGACCAGCTCCGTCGGAACAGCTGTGATCCCGTTCTTGTTTATCTACTATGCGGGCTACGACATCGCTTTCACTCCGCTGCTCCTGGCGTACCCGGCGGAGATCTGGACGACCTCGCTGCGTGCTAAGGGTGTTGCTATATCCACGATCTCGAATTATGTAGCCCTGATTTTTAATCAGCTTATTAACCCTATTGCGTTTGAAAGAATTTCTTGGAAATATTATTTTGTGTTTTTGGTCGTGCTGCTTGTTGTCTTGGTTGTTGTTTGGAAGACCTACCCCGAGACTAGGGGGAGGTCGCTTGAAGACATTGCTTTTATTTTTGATGGGGAGGAGGCGCGTGTTACTGCTGGTGATGCTATGGAGAAAAGGCATGAGGGAAAATTTGAACATCGAGAGGAGTGATATGCAATATAGAGTCATCATGATGATCTGGAAGTTGTAGAACTTGCTTTATGTTCAGATTGGACATCGATCATGAATGCTTCACGTGACACGTAGGGAAATTTAAGATACAGCAATGAGAGCGTGAAACACGTCAATCGTAGAATAGGGGTGATAATGACTGCCTCCGTCGTAGCCCTGGAGTAAAGAGGGTAATGAACACTACCTTTGTTAAACCAGATTACTTCGGGTTGTACTTGTCTTTCCAGATCCTATATCTCATTAGATTCAAAATCCAAATCCTCAGTCAGTTGAACATACCATGAATTCCCAATAGTAGGGCACCCATTCTCCTCGGCAAGTCTGTAATACTTGGCCGCTTTGAACTATGGCCACGTCAAGTCAGAATAGGCAGAGCATATACACCCAAGCGGAGATCAACGTACCTTGTCCTTTTTACCCCCAAAGCCCTCGAGGTAACACCAGCCCACTTCATTCATGGCATCAGTGTCACCCAAGTTTGCAGCCGTCTCGTAATACTGTCTAGCAGCAGCAGGATCCTTTGCTATGCCCCACCCATTGCGGAAGCAATTGGCCAGCTCGAACATGGCCAACACAAGCTCGCCTTTTGCAGATCCCCCTTTCTTAACCCCAGCACGGAGGGCCTCTGCCTCAACCGCGGCCGAGTTAGCTGCTGCGGCAGAGAGATAAGTCACGGCTCGTGCGGTATCTACAGGACAGCCCCATCCGTGTCTAGACATTTATTAGCATCTAGAGAAGTGACAAGTAGCTGGGCGTTCTATTACCGTAGTGCGAGGCCGTAGAGAACCTGACTCAGAGGATTATTCGCGCCATTTGGATCAGCAAGTTGTCCGAACATGTGAGTTGATCGCTCGAGATCTATATTCAATGTTAATCAACGTATATCTCCGGCCGGATATGGTAAACAGAACTCACCACCAGATTCATGCAGTCGAATCGCCTCTTGAATATTAATCTATAGTCCGTTAGTCCCACATTCCAACCACGAGCACAACATCACGCATTATATAATCAGTAAGCACCTACATCTTCATTCGGATCCACCACAACCCGACTCTGACTCGAGCTTCTTGACCTAGCCTGCTCCGGTCCCAACCCTAAACCCAGCGTGGCCTCCCCCTCACCCTGCCGCCCTGGCAAGGACGAGCCGGAGTGCGCAAACTGCGGATTCTGCTGCACAAGCACAGTAGCCCTCTTCTCCCACAACGCCTCGCGCTCCTGCTTGCTCGCACCGCGATCATCATCGATCTGCGGCAGGTCCGCGGGGATGTTAGCGGATGAGTCACGCGAGTTACTGCGACTGCGATGGTCGAGATGGAGGAGGTTTGAGAGGCGGCGTTCCCGACGGGGCGGAGATTGGGAGGATGCAGAGGCACGTCTGGGAGAGCGGTTGAAGAGCTGGAAGCTCCGACGCGGAGATGCGGGCTCGTCTTGAGTTGGTGATGATAGGTATGGGGTTGGGTCGTTCGGGTTAGATGGTGGGGTTATTATCTCTTGCGTGTGCGTGTCTGAGCGGATGAGCTTGAACTCGGGTGCTGGGGGTATTGCAGGTGCATCTTGGGGTGTTTGGCTGCTGAGGTCGTCGCGTTTATGGAGGATGTTGCGTAGTGAGGGCATGATGCGTCTCTACTTATCGGATGCCGGCGGGGAGTGGATCTGGGCCTTTTTGCGTGATAGTCGGGTGTTTACCGAGATACGTGTGAGGGAGGTCTTGTCAGAAATACTTGTAGGGCTGAGGATGAATGTGGCATTAAAATAACCACAATGAATGGACAGTGGCTGTGTAAGGCTTACACGGGTTGATGACTGGGGTCCGGGTCTTGGCCAACCGCTGATATCCCGTGTGCACACGGATTGAACATATTAAAAACACTTGAATATCCTAGGGACATATGCCACGACTTGGAATTTCCCCAGATAGACGAAACCTTAGTATAGATCTTATCGCATTCTCCACGGCCCCGGTGGCGTGCTGCATTGGACCCTGCATATCATAGGGCGCCGCCCGGGTGCATGGACTCAGCCCTTGCCCTGGGGAACAAAACGGCCAGTGTTTACATCAAAGTACATACTACATAGCTCTAGAGTAGTACCAGTCACCTATATGCAAAGGCCACTCTTGAGGATCTCTTCGTATCATATTCTGGTCAAAGTGTTCTACGATGAAACTGACCCAAACAGATTCATATACCAGACATCAGCCGGTGGGCATTTCCAAACCCAACTCGCTTGAGAACATGTCTTGAAACCATGCGTGCCGATTATAGAGTAAGAATCAAAATGGTATTGCAAGGTCTAACTCGGCAGATGCAAATAGCCCTTATAGTTTTGTACACAATGCCGAATGCAGTGAGCTACTAAGCCCATTTACAGGGCCTTGGACGCCATGATGCCTGGAAATCGTTAGCACTATCCTATGTAAAGGTCAATCGGTGGATAACTCACGCTCAACGTCAGCAACGCTCTGCTGAAGGATCTGCTGGAGAACCTTGGGGCTCTCAAGCTCCTTCTGGATCTTGGCAATGACGGACTCGGCAAGCTCGCGCTGCTGGCGCTGCTTGACCTGGTTCTCGTAACGAACCCACGAGTCGAGGACCTGCTTGGCCTCGGCGGCGAGGGCAGTGCGCTGCTGGAGCTCGTAGGCCTGGGACTCGAGCTGGGCGGTTTCCTGAAACGAACTGTTAACGACCGGCCCAAGCATCAACGTACGCGACCGAGTATCCCTACCTTGGAAACAGCGAAGAGCTGCTTGGTAACATCAACAACGCCAGACATCTGGGAGACGTTGTCGATACGCTGCTGGACAGCGTTGGTGTGGTCGGCACGGGCAGCGTTCAGGATGTCCTTGTGCTTCTGGACCTGACCCTCAGCCCACTCGCGATAGGCGGGACCACCATACTTGCCAACAGCAGTGAAGACAGACAGCAGACAGAAAGCAGCGACGGTCTCCTCGTTCATGACGTACAGCTCGTTGCTGATGGCGGCGATGGACAGACCGGCGGCGGCAGACAGGGTAGCGGTCTTGGTGACCAGGTTGTTACCGGGGATGGCATTCAGGATGGACTGCGCCTTCTTGGCGGGCTCCTCGGCGGGAACGTTCGAGGCCTGACGAGAGGAGGTCAGGTTCGCAGTGACGGCAGGGACACCACGGGCGGGAAGAGCCGGCCGAAGTCGGGATGCGCCTAGGGTGAGTTAGTAACTAAAGGCATCGAGTCGATCAGACGGTCGAGGTTCGTAAAAAGCGTACCAATGGCGCTCTTAGCAAGACGCGAAGCCATTGTTGCAGATGGAAGAATCTTGGTCAATGGGGTGGGTGAACGGAATTGAGGAGACTTGAGGTTCGGGATGGCTAGGAGGTGAAGACGCTAGCCGTTTCGGGACGTGATTCCGTTCCTCGGAAAAACCAGCTTCCGAGATGGTCCAAACGATAAAAAAAAGTTGCAGATAAACTGATCATGGTACATTACAAGACGCCTGCCCAAAATGCCTGCACTTGTTACGGATTCGAGCTCTAAGAAGCGCAAGAGTGGCAAGAATGCCAGCGCCCCATCCTCCAAACGCCGCGCTGTCGCCGAGGACAATTTCGCCGAGAAACTGTCTACTATTCAAGAGCTAGAGAATCAAATTGCGGAGTCGCGGAAGGGCTACAACAACATTGCGACTCTGCTTTCCATGCTTAATGTCGAGAAGTCAGCCGAGAAACCCGAGATGGCTGTGGCCGTCTCTCTTTGCCGTGTGTTCAGCCGATTGATCGCCGGAGGAAATTTGACCGAGTCAAGCCGCGCCGCCGAGAACGAGAAAATAGTTGTGGCATGGTTGAAGGAGCGTTGCCTTGATTATCAGAATGCTCTTGTGGCTATCATATGCGAGGCAGATGCTTCTTCTCAGGTATGTGTGCTCTGATCTGGCTGGGGTTACTATTCCTGACGATCTCTAGATTGCTGCTCTGACGCTGAGCATGCGCATTGTCAAGGAACGTCTCGCCCATATCCCTGGTGCCGAGAATAATGTCTGGTCAACGGGTTTCTTCAAAGATATCTTTGCGGCCATCATTGAGGCCCACAACGGCCAGGATCTGCAGTCCGAAGCCGTAGCCAAGTTTGTGAAGGAGTATGAGGATGTGAGATATTACACTTTCACGCAGATGGCGTATGTATATCTTTTTCCTGCTATCGAGTCTTATGGCTAACTTGTATCAGTGATTACGCCTCTACGACACGATCCCCCGAAATCCTTGAAACCCTGATTAAGATCCTTCAGGCCTGCGATGAGGTACCTGGACCGGAACACAAGTTTGAAAACTTCTACGCGAAACGAGACACCAAGAATAAGCGCTTAGTTTCGGCGAATTCCCACAGGAAGCAGGCACAGGAGGCATGGCTGGCCATTCTACGAAACAACCTCTCGCAATCGCAGCGCAAAAGCCTACTGCGTATGATGGTGCATAATATCGAGCCGTGGTTCAACAGACCGGAACTGCTGATGGACTTCTTGACGGACTCCTACAATGTCGGTGGTGCGACATCCCTCCTCGCACTATCTGGTCTCTTCTACCTGATCCAGGAAAAGAACCTTGACTACCCTCAATTCTACACCAAGCTGTACTCTCTCCTAGATTCCGAGCTGCTGCACTCAAAGCACAGATCACGATTCTTCCGATTGCTGAACACCTTTTTGTCCTCAACCCATCTTCCGTCCACATTGGTGGCCAGCTTCATCAAGCGTCTCGCTCGTCTTGCACTGAACGCCCCTCCCTCCGCGATTGTGGTGATCGTTCCGTTCATGTACAACTTCTTCAAGAACCACCCCACAACTACATTCATGATGCATCGATCTATTCGGGATAAGGATCTCCTGGCACAAGTGGAAAAAGAAGGCATGGACGATCCGTTCGATCCAAACGAGTCCGACCCCAACATGACCAACGCCATTGAGAGCAGTCTTTGGGAGATCGTGACTCTTCAATCGCACTTCCACCCCAACGTTGCGGCCATTGCACGGATCATCTCCGAGCAGTTCACAAAACAAGCATACAGCCTGGAAGATTTCCTTGATCACACATATGCCGGCATGGTAACTGCAGACCTTGGAGTTGAAGAGAGAAATCTCAAGAAGATTCCTGTCGTCGAGTACCAAATTCCCAAGCGTATCTTCACAGATCGTCTACTAGAGGAAGATGGTGGTGTGGACTCTGGTCCAGGGTGTTTCATGCGGGATTTGTGGGAGTTCTGAAAGTTCATATATCAGCGTATACCAATTCAATTTGTTTGACAATGAAGTCTGCTCAAGGGTTTAGATATCGTCCCCTGCCTGGAAGAGAAATGATCATCACACCAACAGATCCCTTGCTGCAAGTCTAACCCTAGAAGTCCCAACCCTGAAAGTGAACATTCGATATGGGTGTCGCGACAACGATCACAAGACAACCCCAGCTACCATCGAAGAAGGCTGTAACGTACTCGATAGATCTTGGAGTAACTGATGCTCTATAACTATCATAGGTGGCTGAGACCAATTCAGTCCCTGCTTATGTTGTACTGATCAATATCGGAGATATATATTCTTTAATCCCGCAAGCTCGGTCCTATACATTCTTTCAGATACAAACTACTGCGTACATTATTGCCATTGCCAATATCATCCCCTATCCGTAAAGCTTAGAGCGTCGAACTCTATTGATATAACGGGGTGATTGATTGGAAGGCCGGGGAAAGACTCGGTATTCCCCGTGCTGCACAGATGGCGATCGAGCTACGACAACCTTCAGATCACCACTAAACCATATGGTACCCCTTGGTTTGAATCCACGGTGGAACAAGGCTCGAGAAATGCTGTATGGACTAAAAGACCATAGCCCTATAGACTACTCCGTAGTGCGCACCAAAACAAACCGGAAAGGGATGGCATTCCAGCATTTCCCGGCGAGTCATGTTATTGGGCCTTCAAAGTTCAATCTTCTCATCGATGATTTATGAGCCCTTCGTTGTATGGCTAACCCATTCTTGCGGGGTTTCAGCCACTAATTAGAAAGAAAAGCCATGCCGCAGTCACCCAGTCAATACGACCGAAGGTACCGAACGACAGGATGGCTTCCCATACTCTCACCATGAAAACCGTTACAGCTCTCCCCAGCAAAGCGTTGAATTGATCTTTTTCTCAAGAATTTCCAATGCTTGCTAGCAGGCATTCCCCAGCCAAGGTGGATGACATGCTTCGTTAAGCAGCGTATTGATGCTTCACTATTAGGGCTGTCGGAATGCAACATTCTCCCCAAACGCCCTTTGGTCTCAGCGCTAGAATACCAACAGCCGACTTCCAAGCTCACTTCTGTGGGGCTGGGGGAGATCCAGGCAATTTTTGCCGTCAGTTAAGAATCGCGATGCGCCACCGAATTTCTTGCAAGTTGTATCGCTCTCTGTGACCAGTTCGGGAATATCACACAATAATTCTAATATCACCTCACTTTCCTTAAGGACCAACCGTCTATTGACTTCTTTCATCACAATGCATTTCTCCAAAAGTGTTGTCGCCGTCACGGCTTCCTTTGTGTCCATTGGTCTCGCCGCCGACCCTCTATCCTTCACCTCCTGGCCCAAGGAGCCCCTCGAACCTGGCAAGCCGGTCACCCTCACATGGACTGGTGCCACTCCCAATGAGGTAATACCAATCTCCTCCGACGTTGAATCATAACAAAGCTGACCTCGTTTAGCCTGTGACCATCCTCCTCCGCCAAGGTTCCGCGGGCAACCTGCAGGACGTCAAGCCGATCACTGGCGAGGCCAGGGACGGGACCTTCACCTGGACTCCTGACGACTCTGTCAAAGAAAGCGATACATACGCCTTCCAGATCAAACAAAAAGACCAGACTAACTATACCGCCCTGCTGAAGGGGGGCAACAAGCCCGCCGCTGATATCCCCGAAGCTAAGGTTACCACCTCCGGAACTGGCACTGGCACCACTACTGCTGCAACCACCGGCACCACCGGGACTACTACCGCCTCTAACACCCAGACCACTAGTGGTACTACCGAGGCAACCCAAGGGACCCAGACCACGATGACTAGCACTGCCAGTAAGGCCCTTATAAGCTCTGCTGCCAGCCCATCTGGTAGCCCTTCTGGCAGTCCTTCTAGCTCTGCTGCTGCCAGCTCAACCGAGAGCTTGAAGGCTACCGGTACTGAGGTTGTCAATGGCAAGGAAGCATCCTCCACCGAAAGTGCGCAGACTGGCGCTGCTTCTATCCCGCAATACTCCGTACAGTTGGTAATGGGTATCGCTGGTCTCTTGGCTTACCTTGTCTAGCCCATTCATCTGCTTTGGCGTTGTTGGTCTCATCTTTGAACTGGGTGTTTCGGTGGAGTTGCGGAAAAATGGTATAACTTCCTGTACATAGAATACCCCTGGATATCGTTGATATATAGGTGGCCTGAGGCGTTGAGGAAGTAGTCAATTGCTTTTTCTAGCATATCCAATGCATCAGACATGGTAACAAAAACCAACAAGCAAAGAAAAGGCAAAGAAACAAAACAAGACCTGACGTTCTCCGCTAGCGCCGTGGCGTTCCGTCACAGACGCGGAGTTGGAACACAAAGAACCATGATCGACTGATCTCCCAACTTCAACCTCTCTTACCGCTACTTCATAGTTTTGGAACTGCAGGATCGTTTTGTTTTTGCTGTCTTGATGACCTTTGATGATCGCATGAGAGAGCGCCTCTATTGATCTGAGGCCTCCCTTGCAATGTCTAGCTGAATAAGCGAGATCATAAGACAACGACCTCACATCTAGCTCAATTGGCTCCTAATATTGGTATGAGCCTTTCCCTTCACAGGCCCACTGCTTTTTGCTCCCATCTTGTTCTTCCCATCTGGTTCCTCATGACAGGCGCGGGCGGTCACCATGGGGGGCTTCAAACGGGTCATGAAGCGTCTCAGCCCTAGCAAAAGTCTCATACCGATTGCTGCTGACCCCCATATCCGTGCAGAAGCGCCACAAGTCAATCTCCCGCATGTGGACACGCAATTGAACATGCACCAGCATAACGGATTCCGCGACGAATCAGCCACCGAAGGCCAGCATGGTTGGTGATTCCGATCGTACTCCCTCTACATCTCAAGCTTACAATGCCCACCCTCCAGGTGACTATACTCAACCCTCCTCATCTCCTTCGAACCCTCTGAACCCTTCCGCGACCCCCGCCGACACGGGCAATGGCGACACCCCCACATCAGAATGGTCAGCAGTCGGCCACGCAGCGACAGGGAAATCAGGACGTGTTATCCACAACCTCCAAGAGGAAATAGCACGTTTAACGCGCGAATGCACACTGTACAAGTCCCGCTCAGAGGAGTACCAAAGAACCAACGAGGCCTACAAGATCCAGCAACAAAACATGAACGAGCGCCTACGGAACCTTGAGCAAGTCAACGAGACCAACCTCAACTCAATTGCACGGAAAGACCGGAAGCTAGAGGAACTAAGAACAGAGCTCCAGCACGAGCGCAGCAAGCGGGATGAAGCAGAAATGGACGCAAATCAGACCAACCAGACGATGCGCGAGGAGCGCGAGAACCACAATCGCGAACAAGCCCGATTACTAGAGATCGCAAAGCACCACGAGACACAGTACGAGGTGCTGTCCAGCATGACGAAACGCGACAAGGCGGAGTTTACAAAACGCATCAATGCCATCCGGGCCGAGTTCACGACTATCGCCAATGCGCAGAAAACACATATACACTCCACCGAACGGCTGGAGGTTCTTGCAGATCAGAAGAACAGGGAATTCGACTCCCTCAAGGAATCTTATGAGAAGCTGCTCGCTCAGCACTCCGCGTATAAGGAACTGAAGGATAACGACTTCCGCGAAACGATTGAATCGGCCAAGTCCAATAACGATATGATCGCTGGGGTTCTTGCTCGGCTCAAGGAGACCGAGACAGAAATGAAGTGGGCGATCCGGCTCCACGAAAGTCGCCAAAGCACTGAATAATTTGAGCGTTGTCTCTTGTTTGTGTCACGCCTCACCTAAATCATGCGAATTGTCTATCAGCATCCCCCTCTGCTCTCTGCTCGGATCCCTCAATACCTACCGCCAAATGGACGCCAAACCGACCTCCAATTACATTTCCCGTCCCAATTTCACCTTCGCACTCAATCCCCTGTCTTGACTACCAACACCCTACCTACCCCTTCTCTTCATTTCTCATAGACCATTCTTGGCCGGTGCATGGCGTTTTGTTTCCCCTTGCAGCAGATACCCGTGGCAGAGTTCAATTCGGTCGTGTATCCTTTGATTTTGTATTTCTTACTTTCACCTGCATTTTACCTTTCCCTGTTGAACTGTTACCCCCCTGTTAGATATGACACTTGATGACCTGCATATTTTTGCCTGATATGATTGCACCGTGAACATGATGGCAAGTCTTGTTTCTTGCTTATGTTCAAAACACCATTAAAGAATGGCTACATATTTCCTTTCTACCTAGAGGTTATGGGCGGGCTATTCCTTAACTCAGAAATTTATACTCTTTTTACTTTTGCTTGATTTGTTCTATATGCACTCCGCATCTTCCATGAATTGTCGTGATTCAATCTCATCGTCCTAGATACAAGATAGCGCCGCGCGTTCAACGTCGCTTTCCGCTGACTTCCAAAGTTGATAGTCCGAGACTCCGATTGTTCCTTCCATTCGCAAAGGCTTGAACCTTGCTACTGCCATAATAGGTAGGAATCGTATCTCATTCGACTTTACTTCACCTCTCGCTTCCTCTCTCTTCGTCGCCCTTCGCCGCCCTTCGCCATCTTCATCTCCATCTCATATGCACCGTTAACTTCGGTATGCTCTATCAAATCGATTGTCTAGGCGCTGTTTACCTAACCATCGTGTGATCGATTTGCTTTCACCTACCTCTTACTTAATCGATTGTCCCTTTCCCGGGGCCAATTGAACTACCTCTTGCTAAATTGCTTCCTTCCTTCATGTTTCAAACCAATCCAGGTCTTCAAATCGATTGAAGGACCAACCTTCCGTCTTCAGTCCATTCGCATCCGTCCGACTGACGTCCGGCTCCAATTCATTCAAGTCAGCATCATCACACCAATCCACTCAAAGCTCTCAAAAGGCATCATCCAAGATGGTTAACAGCCGGACGCTTTATTTGACTTCAATGTGGTCACTGGAGGATCGAGGGGTATGCCTAACATCCGCACATTCATCATTCTGCATGGCCGGGACTGACCAGACTCGATATAGATCCCGGAAATCGGAGACAAGCTCAAGTAGGCATATTACTTACGCATATTCATCTTGATCAAGACTAACATTTTCATAGGGCATTGAATCCTGATTCTTCGATCAAGGTCGAATATCTACGTGATAGACATGTGGGTTTGTACGCTGTTTACAATGGTGGCTTTGCTAACCCTACCCAGATCTTGGTTGTCACCGGTCAGTTCGATGAGGAATTTGATGTCCAAATCACGTCCCTACTTGCAAATTATATCGAAGAGCATCGTGATGATGATCTACTTGAGGTATGCGTCGATGCCTCCCCAATATCCAAGTTATATTGTACTAACGTCTGCTCTATTCAAGATGCCGAGAGTTCGTCAACTTCCGATCTCGACCTACTTCGATCCCAATCCCCTCCCTGGCTACGGCAGTGATGCGCAGCCAGAGCTGGAAACCCTAGTGGAGGATATTATGCCGACACAAACCACTAACGACGGACCCATTGTCAAGTTCTGGTATCCCTCGCAGGCGGGATTGGGTCCCATCTCTCATGACTCGGGCCCTCTCCTACTTCGTATTTCCAAAATGACGAAGACACAAATTAAAGTGCAGGGAGCTCGAGGGCTCCGCATTTCTGCACAACACATGGACCACATCGATGGGGCGATGGATATACTCGACTCCCTTGAAGAATGTTTGGTATGGTCCTGTGTCTTCTTTCTATAAGTCATGTATGTTAATATCTTCTAGGATCTCATTGAGAACCCAAACCGAGGGGTAAGTATCTTCGCTCCAAAGCGGGAAAACGCTACCTTTCGCATCATGCCATATTCACAGGTCAGTGCCACTGCCTTGTGGCGCATTTTAATCGACCGAAATGCCTCACTTCGTCTCCCAAAGATAATGACCCTGGTAGTCTGCGAATTCGACGAGTTCGCCAACGAATTCCGTCCACTTCGCAAACTTCGGCAGCCGCCGCAAGTGGCTCTGAATGATGCGAGAATTACTCGAGACTGGGAAGACTATCATTTTCTAGAGATTGGTCGGAAAACCGATCCCCTTCTAAAGGAAATTGGCCAGCATCTCGCGCCTAAAAGTGAGACCTCTCATGAGAAGAGCGATGCTCGGCACCCGTATCTTTCTACTGGCAAGGCAAAAGATGTCGACAAATGGATCTCTCGGGGTGTCTCTAAACGGCCATTGGCAACCGAAGGTTATACAAAAAGATCACTGGAAGACGAACCCGCCTCCCCTAAGCTTGTTGCGCCCCAGCCTGATTCCAGCGTTTCTGTGCCACTGGACCGGAGACAGTCTGGTCCATTCAAGCCCAATCCCGCAGGCGTCAAAGGACGCGTGGTTATGCTACCAGATCGAACTGTAGCACCCTCTAGCCAGTCTCGACAAGAAAAGCCAATAGAAACCCCTCATGGCGCAGGTACCTCCGTGTTTGGCAGACTCAGCTATGTGGAGAGAAACAGGGAGCAACAGGTACCCAGTTCATCTGTCTCAATGCCTCAACAAAAAGAACCCGTTAGTATCCCTCGCAGCCCGACTGACTGCACTGCTCCAAATGCAGCTCCCAAAACGTCGGGAACAAAGTCTGAGGCAACAGGTCCTGCCCCTTCTACCTATTCTACCTCTACTCAGGAACCAAAGTCAATTACCACCCCTCGTCTTGCAGTTCCATCTGCCTCTCTGAATGCAACCCCCACGCAGCCGGGAGACACGTCAAATGCAACTGATTTGCCTATCTGTCCCGCTAACCAAGCAGCAAAGCTGAGCACTCTGCGCCGATCAATTCGCTCTAGTTCTCCAAGCGTCGACAAGGCCCGGCCTCTCGGCATAGTCGAGTCAATGAATTTGCAGGTGATTACAAGGCCTCCAGCGCGGAGCGTCGATTCAGTTATGGGAGAGATAAAGCTAAGGCTTGAGACGGCCAAGACCACGAAGGAAACCGGAATAGACGAAGTGTCCAGCAAGCCAAGGATAACGGATCAACAGCCAAGCACCACATCCACTCGGCTGGATAGCAGCACAGAGGAAACAGAAGACCTCAGTCCCCTGATTGATCTTGACTGCGAAGTGACAACCCTCAATACTGGTTTCCAACACATTGTTGCGTTCGATCCGCTAGCCACAGCCTCATCAAGTGGTGTTCCGGAACAGTATACAGATCAACATGGCCAACTCCAGCATGGCGAGGCTCCCACCTTTACTGAAACTGGTGATATTTTCGATATGCCCAATATCGATGATACAACTATGCAACCTCGGCTAACTCAGAGCGTCTCTCCTTGTCCTGGGTCAACCCAAGATCCGATGATCCCCCGTGCGACAGCTCCGGCGTCTGTTACTAGTGAGCCCGCCCAAGCAGGGCTCGTTACAGGTGCGCCATTGCCTGATTCAGAACTTGCTATTCCTTGTCATGAGAGCGACGTATCCGAAGACAAGCAGAAACCTGAACAGGCCCCTGAATGCCGCAGCAAGGCCGATGAAGTAGCAATGGAATACCTTCTCCGGCAGATCAAAGACAATCCTGCCCCAGAAATTCCCAGAATTGAGGAGATTGCGCTACCTCTTGATGCTAGCATTGTTGGTCCTGCACCTCGGGCTTTGTCTTCTATTTCGCGTGATAGTGCTCCACGTGGTAGTACTCAGCAACGCCAACACCCTGGTCAGGGAGTTGAGAGAGTGCCTTTTCTTCATCCTGACCTCATTGATATCTCACCTCACATGCTTTCTCCTCGCTTGGGTCATGACTCTTCGCAACAACCCGAGTCCAAAAATGGCGAGCAAGATGCGGAAGAAAAGGTTGGCGAAAGCCTGGCTACCTCAGAGGAAACTCAGACGAGAGAATTCCGCGAGTCAATGTTCCATCAGCGGCCTCCCGACAAGGCCTTTCAATGGGTGGATGAAGTAACCAAGACAGTGAGGAAGGCAAAGACTGAAGTTCACACTGCTAATGCCTCGCAGCGGAAGGAAAATGTTGGAACCAACACAGAGGACAAGGAGAATATTCAAGCGCCCATTTCTAACATCTGGCAGCGAAGAACAGGATCCAAACCAACAGAAGCACAGCCACGAAAAAGCACTGCGTTGTCCACGAAGGCGGCTGTGAAATCATCGAGGGAAAAGCACATTCATGACTTAACAGAAACTCTGTCTCGCTTCCTTCAACCAGTTCTTGATTCAGTTCGCAGCTTTCCCGGAGCACTGAGTCTTGAAATCCAGTTCGGGCTTATGTTCATGCCCAGTCTGCCAGCTTCAACCAAAGAGAGGGAGATGAGTTACAGGGAGGTCCACCAGCTGTTCTTCTCTAAGCATAACTTGACACCACCTCCAATTTCATTCTTCCAGCGCTTGACTTCATCTCCTGCGGACATTGACTACCTCATCGACTTGGAAGTCAATCAAAGTCGCCTGTTCGACCAAAAGTACAGCCACCGAGGCGTAAAGTACGAGTTCTGGTGCCGCGTTGGTTCGAACAGGACCATTGTTGTTTCAGTTAATGAATATGGAGATGCTATGATCCGCTATCCTGAGGTCTCGCTGGGCACGGTGCACTTGAGTTTCCCTTCACAAGTCTGGGATGCAGCTGCCAGAGTACAAGGCTTTATCGAATACAATACGGGGGTCGACCCAGAGCTTGAAGAAGCTGCACGAATGATGGCGAAAAGCATCCGGATAGAGCCAAACAATAAACATCTTCGTATGCTGGTCCGTCTTCCCTCCGCATCAAAGATGAGAATTGAGAAGGTGTTCATGGAACGGTGGAGCCGTCACCCTTACCTCTTGCAAAAGAGCAAGGACTTGTTTCTCCAAATCAGCGAGACTCAAGAACTGCTTGCCACCCCCTCTGTCCTGGATCCGGGTATTACTGTTTTGCAGAACGCCCCGCTTGAGAAAATGGTCAAGGATGGAAAGCAGTGGTGGCAGGCCTCGATTGTCAGCAGCAAAGTGGATGACATCATGAAATCGAATTCCTTCCTCCAACCTGGTGACCGCAATGAGTCCTGGTGTGCAACAGATCTCCTCGGTGCAGACATCATGAATGTCGTTCCCTCTATTGAGAACCAGGAGCTGAGTACCCTCGGAGCCGAAGTCGGCCATTCGGGCATTAGAGCGATGTTCCAACTTGCCAAAACTGTCGTGGAGAAAATCGATGCTGTGGGGTACTGGAACAGAGGTCCTGCCAGTCTTGACAAGCGCACGAACACGTCGAACGACCGCAGCCAGGGTTGTATAGGTACGGTCAAGGAGTCGTCCACTTACTTGGGGAAATCATTGGTGCCCTTGGTTCCGCCATCTGGGACCAAGGAAAAGCACAAGTGGTGATGAGAAGGAGGATGAAGATGGATGTATCCCGGGGTTGGAGTGGAAATGGGACAGATGTATTCTTGTTACTGTCGTTTGATTCTTAGGATCTTTATGGGTTCATACGTATACCCGGACGACATGAACTTGCATTTAAGAGAACAGAAAAATCAAGAAGAAAAAAAAGAAAAATGTTTGATATTCTAAAGAGTCGTTCTATGGTTGGTTGCTGGGCTTGCGAAGTTCAGCCCTAGAGTAGATATACATATCTTTAGCTCTTCAGTCCTTTTATAAGATAAAACTTGGGTTTAAGCTGAGATAGAGCTGATATGCATGATGAAGTCTATATCATGCCCAGGTGTATTGAGGGAGCAGCCGGGATTGATATAAAATTACCCATATGTGGTCAAACTAGGGCTTGGTGATGACCTCCTGCATATTATGTTGTAGGATAGGGCGCTGCGGTGCACTAGTGATGTAATCAGATACCCGTGGACTACATCGAGCATTATATAAATACAGATGGTGTCGACTCATCCACGAGTCCTGCATAATTGTTGAGGCAGCCTTACTGCCTAAGGCGAATAGGACCTCTATTCCTCACCAGGTTGATCTTCCTTTCTCTCTCTCCTCAGTCAATAGCTCAACTAGACCCATGGTTTCTTCCCTGCCTTACCTTCCCTACAGTGATAACACATCGTAATGACAGTTCCGCACAGAGAGCTCTGATTAGTGACACTAACGTGAAATTATACCAAGTGGAAAAGGGAGTCGCATTGCACGACCGAATCACTGTCAATATAGCCTGGAAATTATCCCTTCGCGCCAGACTATTTCAATGTCTCCGCCACGTCAAGATGACCTCCTCCTGTCTTTTCAACCATCGTATCTAGTGGAGGCCTAGCCGTGGGCTCCTGCTGCTAGCAGTGCTTGCACCACCGCAGTGTGACCACGTTTTCGCGCTGCTTGCAGAGCTGTTTGACCAGAATATTCAGCATCAATATCTGCTCCCGCTGCTACTAGTGCCTGCACCACGTGAAGGTGGCCTCCTCCTGCTGCCGCTTGGAGAGCTGTCCGGCCATATCTATCGGGAGGTGCGTTGACGTCTGCCTTTG